AGATGAAAGATGATATAGTAAGAAAATTAAATAACAAGATGACTGCAAACAGGGAAGAGTGGAAGAGAAAACATATAGTGCTGACCATAAATGGGATAAAGAAGAAGCAGACGATGATGGATTGTCAGAGGTTTATCAATTGTCGCCGTCGTGTTAAATGATACACTTGACATGTCCACCTTTCACTCCAAAAACCTATATAAATAAATAAGTAATAAATTATTGTTTACTACCTATAGTATAAGCTCTATTTACTTTGGGATTAGATAGCGTTTCGTGTTATTTTCGGGCCGGTGTGATATCTTATCTATGTTTGAGTCGAGGGTTATTAATTAATTTATTAGCCTACTACCACCGAGGCTCGATAGAGGGTTTTATTTACAGTTTTCCTTGTGTAATACTAAAAGGCTGACGAGAAACAATATTGGTTATACAACCAACAACTATACAATAATTGTCCAAGAGATTCGCGAAGGAATCATCACATCACAATAATCATCATTTCAGTCCGGAAAACGTCCACTGCTTACAAAGGCCTCCCCCAAATCATCGACCCACGACGATCGGTCCTGTTCAATAGATCTCTATAAATGCAATAAAATTTTATTGCAAATTTAAAAAATTTGTACTTTTATTTATAGTAATATTTATTAAATAGTAAAAAAACTGTTGCCTATGGATATGAAGTACACGCAGACATTTTAAATAATGACACTTTTTGGAATGGCAAACTAACTTACGGCCAGCCCAACTGACAGGTAATCGTCCTCCATATATTAGGCATTACCACAGATAACATAATATTACATACAGATACCCCATCCCATACAAGAAAATGGTTCCTTCCTAACTCGGGCTATTCTTCGGGCTATTTTATTTCGCCGACGTAGCCGCTAGATGTCTCTAGATCTGAAGCAGTTCGGATTACTAGTGGGTGCTTAGTAACAAAGCACGAAAATAGATGGCAGTCAATTCAGTCTACATGACATCTGTTAAAAAAAAGATAGGTATATAATAGATATGTAGGTAACTGTATCGTGTACCTCATTAGGGACGATTCAAGATTCAATGTAAATGTGTAGGTATAATATCGTTAGCCGACACCCTGCAGATATGGCTTATGTGCCAATGTATATATTATGTTATAGTTTATTCTACATTCCATGCCTATTTTTTTCTCTCGACGAAGATATGTTGTAACGCGTATTCTAATATACGTATAGCCCGATTTTGATACGTTTATACTCGTACGTATCAAAATCGGGCTATATGATTTTTTATTTCAATCGTTATGTGTAAGAGACATATTTATACAATGAATTTACTGGTATACCTATACCTCCTGTATTCTACGATGTACCCCTCTTTTCCCTAATGAGAATTTTTATATCTTATATATAAATTTCGTATCACAGTGTTAGTTGCCATATTTCTCCCACATTTTGATGAAATTTGATATGTATACTTGCTAGGTCTGAGGTAAGGTTGTTATCTATTTTTTATACCCCTAAGTCATAGGGGTGGACTACCCTGAATTTTTTTTTTGTATTATGGACATTTTTTTATTTATTTATAATGTTACATACACGCCTAAATTTTGGCCCGTCTTTTACCAACCCCTATTTTTAATGGCGATATTCTTACAAATATTATAAATGCTAAAGTAACTCTGTCTGTTTGTCTCGCTTTCACGCCAAAACTACTGAACTTATTTAATTGAAATTTGGTACACAGTTAATGTAGACTGTGAGAAAAGCTACTTTTTAATGCGAAAAAGGGTTGAAAGGGGAAATGAAAGGCTATATGAAAATATCGTCATTTTTAAAGTCAGATCTTGTAAGCTAAAGCTTTAATTTATAATCTTATAATTTAATTAAAAATATTTTTTAGGCTGCTGACTAAATATAAATAAATATGACATTCTAAGTATGTAAAATGTTATCCTTAAGAGGGTAAAATGAAATATAAGATGAAAGTTGACGATGATGAAAAAATTCGTCATTTTCAAAACTAGTACGATGAAACTTTTTTCTTTGGATTTTTCGAGTTACATTATTAAATATTTATTATTTATTTGATAAAGGTCACTATTCCACACGGACGAAGTCGCGGGTACAGCTAGTTAATTTATAAAGCAAAACAAGGTCACACACGGGTCAGTTAACTCTCTCTTATATCTATAATGAAATGAAATTCGGTTTCAAAAGAAGGAATATTAATTAAGCTAAATAGCTTAAAACTTCAATCCTAGATGAAGTGAACAGGGTCGATCTAGGTTTTTCATTACTATTATAGAAATGTGTAACGGGGGAACACGTTACTTAGTACGAAATTGTGTATATTACAATAAAACTTAACGAGAAAATATTATAATGATGTCACTGGAACACTCATTGCTTTACTACTATACCGTCCATTAGTCGCGAACTTTCCGGATGCGCGAGAGGCGCGCTCCTATTGGTCGGTCGGTGTGGTTACCGCACGACGCGCATGCGCTGTACGCTTATATATCACGGCGCGGGCGTAAGTACTTACTATGTAATTTGTATACATATGGGTGTCACAAATGTTTTTATTACAAGTAATATTACTCTATTATCTAAGCCAGTAATGTGTGCTTATTTTGAACTTGATAACATTCAGAATTACTTGTATACATAACTTTCGATATCTACAAAAATAATATCTTTGATGTATGAAAGAAATGTATGTACCTACATAAAAAGTTCATTTTTGAAATGTATGAAATGTATGAAAGAAATGTATGTACCTACATTAAAAGATAATTTTTGACCTGTATGAAATGTATGAAAGAAATGTATGTACCTACATTAAAAGATAATTTTTGACATGTATGAAATGTATGAAAGAAATGTATGTACCTACATTAAAATATAATTTTTGAAATGTATGAAAGTAATGTATGTACCTACATTAAAATATAATTTTTGACATGTATGAAATGTATGAAAGAAATGTATGTACCTACATAAAAAGTTCATTTTTGAAATGTATGAAATGTATGAAAGAAATGTATGTACCTACATTAAAAGATAATTTTTGACATGTATGCACCGTACAATAACAATACACGTTAAACATCATACCACAGAGTCATACGCAAGTTAAAAACAAACTGCTATGATATTAATGAGAAAGGAAAATCAACTTTATGGTATTCGAGTTAGGGTCGATTTCTCTCTTTTTTTTAAATACTATTTTAATCTTATCAGTTGCCAGTATTCGAAGACAGCTACGATTCATACTCGATATTTTAAAATTATTATGTATTCGATTTTTCAGTACAAATGTAAATAACCAACGACACTAATAATGTACTACTATATTCCGTTCTTTGAAACGGAACACTGCTATAATACAAAATAATGAAAATTTACTGTTCACAACGACTCATTAAAAGCATCATCGAATAATGCGCTGTAATAAAATCCTGTTATCGATTATTTAAATTATTAACCGGGTCTTAACACGAATAATTTTATGGCAAATAATATATATATATATATGTTAAGACCCGGTTAATAATTTAAATAATGTATATTAAACACGAAAGTTTAAAATTACCTGTTATCGATTATTCAAAAAAATCGATAATACATGTATTTATTTTTAATATGACAACACTTCATACATAAGTATTATTGGAAATAGTATTACTTGCTTGTTCGGCTATTTTTAATTTACTTAAACTTTTTTTATATGTTTAATTTACAATAATAATATATTAAGTGCTTATTATTGGAAAATATAAAAAAGACATTTAATTAGGCCGATACAAATGACAACAATGCCATCTATGAAAGCATTTTGAAAACATTGAGCCCCGTATTAGCACTGATTAAAGTGTAATTAAGTACTGGAAAATAACAAAATGAGTAAATATATGAAAATTACTTTTCTAAACGCATTATTTCATTTTAACATGTATATATAACTATTTAAAAATTGATTAAACATTTTTGAAAACACAGTTTTGTTTTTTATAACGTTTGCAAAACTATGAAGAATTCCATCGATACCAATCACGCCATCTATATGCAACTTTTAGCAATAATAATGGCTACTTCCTCATTGAGTGCCACTGGCATTACTCTTAAATCTAAACGAATTTCATCAAGAAATGAAACGAAAATCTGAAAATAAATTTACTACTTTTTATACTATTGAATATAGGACCCTTGATCTCTGTTTGAACATTTTAAAATGATAATAGATATAGTGAATAATTTTACACACTACAAAACTCCTTATTCAAGCATATATACATAACATTTAAATAAAAAAGCACTCACTGTGTGGTTAATTAATTTTTCCCGGAATGTCAATGACCATTTTAGATAACAAGAGGCAATCTCGAAATCCACATTGCTTACCGAGCCTAAGGATATTGTTGACTGAATTTTGCTTGTATATTTCGTCTTGTTTCGGATTATTGTTTTATTTTGTACTTACATTTGTCCTTACATTTGTCCTATTATACGTAAATCTTTGTTTGATAACTAGAGTGGGAGTAATATGAAATTTCGTAGGGCAAATATTCTAATATAGTAATAATATTTTTGTTTTCGTTTAAAATATAATAATTACATAAAAAAAACATCTAAAATTATAATAATCTACTACATACAAAAGAAAAAAGAAAAGGTGGAAAATGGAGCACAAAAAAAGACGATATACAGCACCTATATGGCGAATCCATTAGGTCTCATCTCTTTTCATATTTTTTTATTTAATTAAATTGTAAGTTGCAGACAAAGTTGCGCGGGTCAGCTAGTCATTGATAATTAAACGAAGTATTTTTTTTATTGTGTATAGAAAATTTTTTTTCATTTACACGTTCAAAGGTTTTATATAGTTTTTTAATCACAGAGCTTACACGGCGTAAGTGATCTGCACAGAGTACTTACTCAGTGTTGCCAACCGTATCGTATTACTTATTGGGCAAATATTTAGACAAAATGTAAATTATATCGACTCACCTAGTGCAAAATCACATGCAGGTCCAAAGAATACATGAGCACAATCGTTGTAAGCATCTATGGCCGATATGACTGCGTAAGCCGCATCGCAGTCTGTAACATCGTAGGTCGTCCATTCGAATATAAGGCCGGTGGGGAAGGCCTGTTGAACCGCTTCATGCTGCATTGCCAGTTCTATGACTGTCTCCACCTGTTTAATAAGAATAACCATAAGAATACTAGCGAATCTTAAAATACTAAACTACACGTGGTAATCGGTAATTAATAATTATACAACTGGCTTTATGTCTTTCTTTCCTTTTTTTCTACTAAAGATTAGTTTTATATTAAAAGAATTAAATTTTATTAAAAGGACTCTCATAAACAGATAATCTAGTTAGCTTATTTATTACTAGCTGTTACCCGCGACTTTCCTATCATTGAATTAAAATAAACTAACATTCTAAAATACCAGTAGTCTGAGTTACTACTTATAACATTGGCTATTTGTTAGCAATGGAACTTTCACCATTAAAATCAGTATCAGCCGTTTCAGAACTAGAAAAAAACAGAAAACATAATGTCTGTGGTAACGGGCGCCCGTTACCACTTACCATCAGGTAGGCCATCTGCCGATTTGCACTTCCAATTATACAAAAATAGTCACTGAAATGTGTCAATAAAAAAATAAGTACTTACAATAAGTAAATTCGCGACGTACTCCGTATTCTTCGGCAGCAGCAGCGCGGCTCTGACCTTGCATATGCCATCCTGGTCACACACATTCTCACACTCCCTAACTCTCTCTTCCCCTCTACAATTCTGACAGTGGCCAACACTTAGCACGCACAAGAACAACAGAAACAACCACATTTTATCGATATAACATTTCAATCATTGGGTCCCATCACTAGTTCACTAAGTACACTTTCAATTTTCACATGTAAATAATATTCGCCTCACTTCACTGTATTCCTGTAACAAAGAACAATTATAGTTAATTAATTATAAGCAATTATAGCACAAAATGTATAACGTAAAGTGGAAGAGAATTAGAAATACTGCCTGTTAGCTGATACCATATTACTTTGATAATTAGTGATTATTCCCATTGTTAGCCGTGTACCATGTCAGGTTGATGATCATTTCCAGACGGCATTCAAACTTACATACAAACATATATATAAACAACGATGATAAATAAATATAATGAAAAAATGTCCATTTATAGTATAACGAGATTATTTAGTCTCTTATTTAAATTCAAAGAGTGGACACGACATTATAATGTGACACCCGTGATACTACCGACGCATGCATTCCAGAGAACTAAGATGTCATGCTTTATACCCAGATACATTTTTTACGGAGCTATATAGAGTAACATAGAAACACCTTTCCGAAGTTGGGAAGGCTAGCTAATCTGTAGTTCTAGCAGTTTTTCGCAATTTCCACTTCGTTTCCTTTTTTTAATGTTACGCTAGAATCAATAGGAACATCATCGATGAAATATGTTATAAAAACGAACTTGAGCGGATTTGCATAAATATTTGTAGAATTAACATAGATGATAATTTCTTTTGCTAGGCTCAGTCCCATTTATTTGGGGTTGGCAGGTCTGGTCAATCTTCTGTCTGTACAGACTGTCCTAGGTCGTCTAGGGTGTTAATTCGGCGTTTTTTAGGTCCCTATTAATAACAGACATCCATTCCTGATGTGTCTTCTGAGCTGGTTACTACTACTACATTGTCACGAACTGTTCTTGTCATATGGTTTGATGGTTGCTGCATGACATCTTAGGCGGCTCTTCAAATCTTTCTCCAGTATAGGTATACCTTAAAACTGTCATGAATGTGGCTGTTTTTGATGTCCACCATTAAAAACACAGGCCCACCTAAGCATTCTTATTTCTGCGGCATTCAGTTTTTTTTCCTAGTGCTCATGGCTCGTCATGGCTAAGCGCACTGCCGCTTTATATACACTTACTCTTAGTGTGAATGGGTATTTTCTATCGCAGAGTACCCCAGAGAGCTACCTCCACATCATCCACCAGGTGTTTAACATAGATAATAACATTATATATAATTAATTTCTTTGGTCACAATACGATAGACGTTTGTCATTAGGTCACATGAGGCAATATGATAACGACCAGGTGATACAAAAACCTAGATTAGATATTTCACAAATTTATATAGTAGGTATCTAATATAATTATATAATTGTAAGTAATATTAGGTAAAATTTATTCTAGTACGGAACTATAAACATGATGTCATTGTAAAAATTTGTGATTAAATTTAATTCAATTTAGATTATATTATGATCGTAGATTAGATTTGATTTCAATAAATGACTAATCGTAATAGAGGGCATTGGCACTCGGTTATCTCTGTCTACCCCAAATGTTTATTTACCTACAAAAACCTAATAATCAAACCTCTCTTCTACGAGTCATACCACTTGCTAGAATAAAGGAAAATAAATTACTATATAAATATATAGCAGATTTTTCAGTATCCCATTATTTGGACGATCTGGGTGGTCTAGGAGTTAGCACACCGCCTTACTCCCGATGGTCGCTAGTTTGTGTCTTCTATGTATAACATAAAAAAAAATGTATTTAGTTGTACGACGTCATAGTACTGTTTATGTATAACAGCGACGTTTACAACTTACCATCAGGTGAATTACTAGATTGTTTGTCATTTCAAGGATATAAAACAAATTACAATTTACATAACATAATTTTTATTAACATTTTTTCAAATATCTTCTCGGAATGTATATAAGATTCAATGCAAAATATAGGGAAGGGCATTGTTAGTAATGTGGAGTAATAACCTCATTGCTATCAATATACCGCGTCAGATTGACCTCGCGATTCCTCCTAAAGACCATCATGAGAAATCCTGGTGAATTTGTCATGATGGGCTAACTGACACGGTTTCATGCTCATCCTCCACTAGACCGCCAGCGTAAACCGTTAGCGCAGGCGGGAGCATCATTCCAATATCATCCATTCAAAAAATACTGAACTTATAAATTCGGAAAGAACAACACCACTGACATACCTTCACTTTCACACTACGACTGATTTAATCTTATTGCGTAATTTAATTATAGTGACTGAATTTGACCCTAATGTATTCACATATTTCGACTTAAAAATGTAAACTTATTAAAGATTATCATCCTATAAAAATGTAAGATAGAAATATATTCTTTCTTTTCGATATTTTAGTAAAATAATCGAATTGTATAATCTTATCATCACACTTGAACTGATATTGCGTTCTCAAACATATACTAATAATAATTTACAGACATCATAATAGGTACGTATATCGTTACAGATGAGAAACTTCGTTTACATTACATTCACATGAAGCTTTTGATCTCGCCTCAATAAGTACTAAAGGTTCAACATGTATTCCATATTGAACTTGAAGTATCCCTATTTCTTTTAGTATTCACTCAATGATAATTTAATACTTAGTTATGACGAATACATAAAAACGTACTACAACATTTTTATGTATTTAGAATGACAAACAAGCAAGCATAGAGTTATCATGTGACGTCCGTGATACAAATCATGCTTTATCATTTCAGACTGATGTAATGCCTCTTATACTATAATTTCACCTTTTTCTCGCCTTTTCTCACCTTACAACCGATACACAACCACTGTATCTTTTGTAATTATGTTTTTTTTATATATTTGTGTACTTAATTACTTTTTTTCTGTGAGAAGCACAATGACCAGGTTATTTCATTCATACACAGCTTTTGTGAGCTGTGCAAGCTGCTAAAAGCTGAAAGACTGAAGTATCCATGCAGATGACTGAAAGACTGAATGACTGACTGAGTGAAGACTGAATACCCAAAGGCTACTGCTGTGAGTCGACCTCGGTGGTCTAATGTTTTAGCACACTGCTTTACTTCCGATGGCCGCAGGTTCATGAGTATGATAGTTTGTATCGGTCTGAGTACTCTATGTATATTATGTATGTATTCACAAAAAAAATTATCTATGTATTCATATCAGTTGTCTAATACCCATGACACAAGCTCTGCTTAGCTTGGGACTAGATGGCAGTATATGAATTGTAAAAAAACAAACAAAAGTATAATCATATAAGTGGCCAACGAGCAGTTCGTGTAGACCTACTGATATATATCCAATGTTATTTCTAATGCGCTGAAACCGAAATGCAAAACAAAAATTAAATTAATGACTGTAAATTTAAATATAGCATCGTTTAAGTTAGTTGAGTCTATCTTTGATGTACATAACTCTCCTACAAGACTGATTAATGACAGCTCTATTTTAAATGTACGTAATCCATTTTAACTGCATAAACAAATTCAATTCGGTAGGAGTCTGATGACTTACTAATGTGTCTGGTGTATTGGATGTTTATGTGAATTATACATTTTTATTGTACAGATCTCGTAGATGTAATTTAAATAATAATAAAAAAAGAATAATGAAAATCGGCTTTGATTAATTAATGTACTTTCAATTACATTTTAAGACACTGGTTCTGAATAAATAATAGAAAATTAAAATGAACATTCTTTATGAACATGTATAATACATATGCTTTATTTGTAACATACAGTAATTATTGTTTAATAAAAAAAATACTTATAGTATATTAGAAAAGACATAAACAATATTTTAAAAGGCACATTTATAATTACAAAATCCTTACTATTGGAAGCACTATTTTCAAGGCAACCTGAGAAAAATGGTTTTAAATATCGAAAAGGTAATATGAAACAGGTGATAAGAAAACTAAATAACAAACACATAATGATGAAGGAAAATGTATGAAATGTATGAAAGAAAAATTAAAATATATGAAAATAATACTAGTTTATACCTTCAAATCTATTTGATATTTATAATTTAAAATATAGCTTTCGAGAACCTATGTCCAACCCCGATAATAATAATAATAATAATAATAAAGCCTTTTATTTCCATAACCATCCAGAAGTTTGTACAAATAAAAAAAAACCCCAACCCCGATATATAATCTATATTCACGTCAAATATTAAAATCTGTCGGTAACAAGTAGGATAGAAAATCCTTTATTCAAATAAACTTAATTTAATCACTTTTATAGACAGACAGATACACGTTTACATTAATAATATTAGTATGTAAACATAAAATTAATACCCAATCAATTCTAAATGAGTATCTGACTCATCAGTACTATTTGTATTGTGCGAGAATCGAACTCGTGCCTATCACAAGTTTTGATTGTTGTTCAAAGCACAGAGGTCGTCGTTAAATAAATTCAACAGCTATATAAGCAGCTATATAACTACCCTCCAAAAAGTCCCGCTAAGAATTCTTATATTTGTTTGGTATTTCAATAATCGGCGTTCCTATAAACATTGCACGTTGTAGCTACTTGTAGGTAACTTTTATGTTTGCGAAAATTTACTTTGTTTACAGTTACGAATAACCACATTCTCAGCCACTTTAAAATCCGCTCTATCGAAGACAAACTCATCAAGACACGGCTAAGGTGGTAAGGCCATGTCAAGGCGAAAACATAGTCATATGACCAAAAAAGTCTTGAACCTTATTTCCGGCCCATAGAGACGAGGAAGACCCATACTGACTCGCTAGTCCGTTATTTATAGCGGACGGGCGGGCGACCTAAAGGAAATGGGAAGAGGCTAGGCAAAGAGAGAGAGAGAGAAGTTTTGTTTGCAGTAGTTGCTAGTTATTTCAAAAATCATGAAGAGTAAACAATAAACTAGTGTTAATAATACTAACACTGGCGCTATATTTGATCGTTCGGTTGAGGGGGAAGGAGATAGTCAACAAAAAATGACATTGCGTGAG